AAATTAGTATAGTATCATAAAGGAAGTTAAAGGAGCGAGGCTGTTTTCACCCAGTTGCAGACCAAGGACCCATTTTAACGACTTGTGAGAGAGACTAAGCACTAAATAAGCATCACCCCCAAGTTGCATGGTCAAACCCCTGATGTTACAGCTCTAACGTCCAACATCCCCACGTTAATTATAGCCAAGGTCAGTCAAGGTCATGTGGGGTGGCTGATTGCATTCCCAGAAGCAAAATTTGAGATCCAATTTCTCACTTGCCACAATTTGCATCATCCAGACATTTTATCCAAGGATCCGATGCCCCTAAACTGGTACATTTTGGCTCAATTTACTGTTTGAGTTGGCTGCTACAAAATTAGGGCCAGATTTGCATAGTTCATTTCTAACATGCATTTTGGGTACCAAGTGACTCCTCTTTACTTCCTCTTTACTCAGATTCACCTTAATCTATGTAAATTTTATCATTGTGTGAGGCTCTGTAAGCTCTCAAAAACTTTCTGGGACAGGGCAATGCATAAAATACACTTTAGATACATTTCACTATGTATCACAGGCTGGTTCAGGTCAAAGATCTCAGAGATTTAAAAAGTGGTAATGGAGGGGGCACCTGGCTGTGTCAGTAGAGCATGTGACTCTTGATCTCAGGGTAGTGAGTTCAAGCCCCATGATGGGAGTAGAGGTTACTTAAAAAGTGGTAATAGGGCAAAATAGGTAAAACTTCCAGTTATAAATAAGTCATGAGGATGTAACCTCCAGCACAGGGGACATAGCCAGTAACACTGTAATAACTTCATATAATGCCAGATGGTAACTAGACGTATGGTGGCGATTTTATAATGTAAAAAAAAAAAAAAAAGTAACATTTCTTAACATATTCATATTGTCCCTAGGGCAAAATTCAACTTTTAAAAATCTGAATTTAGGGAGTTAAAAGTAAATGAAAGATGGATTCAAACTACTCCAAATCAATGTTCCCAGAAGCTTCTAAAATTCCAGAAAGGGCCATTAAAAACTGAATCATTCAGGTTAAAAAAAACCAAAAAACAAAGAGTCTGACTGGAAAGGTGGTCATGGCACATTACAGCATACAGGATAACCAGAGGTGGAGTCTTTATTTCACAAGTTTCAAGATACAGTACAAAACGAATCTGTACATCTCTCTATTAACAGGATTTGTTTACACAATTATATTACACTTCACCAGCCTTTATACCGTATTTAATTAAATACAAAATAAATTTACAAAAAAGTCTACCATGGTGTTCCTTCCAATGCCAGCTTATGGTCTTTTTAAGCTTCTCCTAAGTATTGACAGTGGTTATACCTTGATCGAATCGACACTATGATTTTTTTTTTTTTTTAAATCAAAGAGACTAGTGTCAGCGTGTTTGTCATTGCAAACAGGAAAAACAGTGCGTGTAAAGAGGACTGCCTGCACATAGCCAAGACATCCTTCCCATGCACACAAAATCAGAGTTTTGCTGGTGCAAACAGTCATTTTAAAACACAAATCATTTTTACTTGGGGTATTTTAGGTTTTCTTGAACTACCTAGTGGCAGGAGAAATTTAGCTGCTTTTCAATGACTGCCACACATTTAAAAATCAGGTAGTGCCTCAGACAGTGTGGTGTTCAAAAATTTTCCATTTTCATTTATAGTGGAGAACAATGACTGAGGAAAAAGATTTTCATGAAAATCGTTTTCTTTTGCTTTATTTCTTGCATTCTCCTAGTCATAATGTGGTGCAACACGTATTAAACTCACTTCCAGAACAAATACTGGCTGTCCTCGGGGCAAAAGTAGCCCATTCTGCTCTTCTTGGCAGGTGAAGGGGCTGTTTATCTGACACTGTTTTGAAATGTGCATGTGAAATGTTAGTCCAAACCTCTGTGAGGGAAGTTTTTTTGCAGACGGGGCTAGACAGTAATACACATGCTACACACATGAAGAGCTGTGGTCTCCATTTACAGGCTTGCATGCATACTTCCAAAACACCGGTTTGAAGAACAAATATGAGCAGCAAAGAAAAGAGGGAAAAACGAAGCAAGGGAAAAAAAAAAAAAACCCTATACAAAATACTTAAGTTTCCAGGAGGCAACAGCAGCTCCTTAAATAAAGCATCAGATCATGGTCAGATCATGGTAGAGTTTCTACAACTTTCCAATGGTACAGAGACAGAACAGCTTAGCAGTAAAACTTTCACAAATTAACCTTATATGCACAAGGGTAACAAATCCTCAAGAGTATCAAGATAAACGATTCCCAAGTTAATCTCATTTCAGTGCTAAATAATGAATTTTGAAAAAAAAAGGGGGGGGGAGTTACTTTTTCTGTGACACTGAATATTAACCAAAAATGAGATAAGCCTTACTCAGAGAACAGAAACAAAAAAATTCAACCACAGAAAGAAACAAAACAAAACAACCCCAAACACCAATGCTACTTCTGTGACATAAAAAAGAAGAATGGTCTCAAAACTCTGGAACAGTTGGCTAACCACAAAGCACACGCACAGGAGAATATAAGCTAAGTGGAGTACTACTGTCGTCACCTTTGATGGCAGGAAGACAGGCTATTAAAGGGGTCAGGAGACAGGCTACCATGGAGAAATGAAGCTGTGCTCAATCTGCTAACTCTAAGTTCTAACATTAAAACTCCTGAATTCTGGAGTTAGTTTAATGTCACTGACATTAACTAGCTTTAGTTACTGTCATTTTATTCAAATGGATGCCATTTGATTAGGTAAGTATTGAGCATTATTTTAGGAGAAACACCAAACCCAGTTCCTACTTGCCTAGGTATTATGTCCCGTGAACAGAAAAGAAAAAGGGAGCAGAGTGTTTTGAGACAGTCGTAAGGACTGAAGTCACAAAGCCATCTAGGAACTAAGTTATTTTAAATAGACCGTTCAAATTTCCAGTAGCAAATGACTCAAGGGTTTGGCAGGATGGGGGAAAAGGCCAAGAAAAGGGTTAGAATATTAGTAATAAAAAGGAAATGGCAAGTAGTTGTAAACTAACAGGAAGTTTGTTATTGCATGAAGAACAAGACTGCGCTTTCCCATCTGGCTTTATTTAGGTAGTGCACACTGTTTTATGAAATGTCTTCTCAGAGTGCTAATGGAGGGAAGTAAAGCTAGAGATAAAAATGCTGCTAAAGGAGAAATCAGGTGGGTGGTAGAGGAAACAAACGGTTGTTTACTCACCTTAGAGGGGTTTTTAAGCATTTAAATAAATTACAACAGTTCTTTCGAAAAGAAATGTGGCTGCTACCGTGAATTACAGTTTTGAAGGGTGAGAAGACGCAGTGGTGAAGACACCAACATATTGTACCAACTGCACTCAGATCTCTCTCTCTCTGTGTAAGAGATCAAAGAAGTCTTAATATTTAAGAGCTGCCCAAAGCAAGGGGATGTTTTTGAGGGTGGCATTTCCTACCTTTCAGATATGCATTTATACATATGGTTCCCTCTGTGGCCACCTCTTCAAACTGGAAGCAACAGGTGGGGGTAAAATCTGCTTACCAGGTTTCTCAGAATACTCTAAACACACACGAAAAGCACACAACTTCACATTTAAAGCCTTCGTGTTCATTACAGACTACTTAAATCTAGTTCTAAATACAATCCCAACTTCAAAACCCAAAGTCTTACAACTCTACAGGTAATAAACTCTTTCAAGTTTTCTGGCAGATGAGGGACTACGGAAAGAGTATAAAGGTTAATATAAACAGACTGAGGTCAGTAGGCATAGAAAGCCTGCTCAGATACTAATGTAGTCTCAGACTAGACATAGGCTGGTGAATACCACCATCTGATAGTAAAAAGAAATACAAATTCGGTTTAAATTTCTTCATTTGTATGGTATGTGAAATCCTCGGTTTTCTTTGTTGTTGTGTTTCACGCTATTTAACCAGACTCTGAAGTATAATGGCCTTGATTTTCCTAACGTCAACAGTGGGAGGGTGGTGAACAGGACAGCTAACAAAGTGGTTGACTTTCTACTGTAATATAAAACTGCAGAAGTAAAAATCTACCTGAACAGTATAAACAGGCTTTGGCTTTCCTCAACCACTGAGTTTACATCTTAGATTCTCAGAGTTTTAGTTTTATAATGGTAGTCACTGTATGCCACATCTTTGCAATAATATTTCAAATTTAAAGAATTCAGGAGGGTGCAAACTGTTCTTTTGCAATAAAAAAATGCAAAGTAAAATAAACCCTGGGAACAAATGCTTCATCTTTCAGGAAAGTGTGTCTATCATTTTGGTACCCCACCCAGAGTTCTTTAGCATTGTTCTAATTTCTCCCACTTAGTCCATCCTCTGGCTTCCGGATCAAGGCTCTGTATACTCAAAACAAACAAGCAAATTACATCGAGTAGGTGGGGCAAATTCACATGTTAGCTCAAGGAGTCAGTTCACAATGTTTCATCTATTCCGTTCCAGAGAAGTGAAGTTCACGTAAAACTCTTTAACAGGACTTTCAGTCTTTGAAGGACACAAGTACCGTATCAAGTGTGGCAATCACCAGTAAGAAGAAACCTCCCAGCCTTCCCTTTTAAAATAATATGTTGAATACGTATACTTGCACGTGGATTGGTAAAAGTTTCTCAGTTATTGCAGTTCTGACACACTTTGAAGACTTTTTTTTTTTTTTTTTTTTT